AAAATTAAAAACAATATTTTATTCAAAATTAAATTACTACAAATCACTGAGTATTTGTAATTAATAAATACTGCTGTTCTCCTTAAGGAACAATGGTAAATAATTAAAGAATTCCATTCAAATTAATATTAGTTTGCGTATATTTTATGAATTAAGAGATAGCAAAGTTTGGCCAAGGACAGGACCAAGCCTCGACCCTTGAGAGTTTCATCACAGGTGATAACCCGTCTGAGATACCAATCTAGCAAACAAAGGACTTAACATAATTATAACCCCATCTTAAATTTTCGTGTTTTATTTTGAAATCACCACATCGGGCTGCTTTGACCGCATCGGGCTGCCAGAATCCAAAAAATCAACCCTCCCTTGAAATAGATAAAAAATTATCATTTAATTTAAACTTTAATTTTTTTAATTTCTTTAAGAAGCATTCTCAGATTATTCTGATTACTATACCTCTTTTTATGATTTTTTGTTACAAGGAATCCTACGCTCAAAGTAATTCCAATTTATGCATATTTTATCAAATCAAACAGTTTTAATATTAATTAGATGGTTTACTTCATAAATCAAAGAAAACACCTAAACCTACTATGAATCCTAATGAAAAGCAATCGAATGGAAATTCAAAGGAGTCCAAAGGACTTTCAATTGAGTTGAACGGAAAATCAAATGAATCAAAAGGAAAGTCAAACGAATCAAACGGGGAATCTTTTTCGGCCTCCTTGGGACTATCAGAAGAGTCCATGGGACTTTCGAATGAGCTGGGACTTTCGGCTGAATTAGATCTTTCATCTGTATCAACGGATCTTTCATCAGAGTCTTCGTCAGCTTCACTGGAACTTCCATCGGAGGAGACTGGACTTCCAGAGTCATTAGAGCTTTCAGCCGGATCAAAGGGTTTTTCATCAGAGGCTTTGGGAGCTTCGCAAGATTCACAGGAACTTCCATCAAATGAGTCTGGACTTTCAGAGTCATTAGAGCTCTCATCTGGATCAACGGGTCTTTCATTAGAGGCTTCGGGAGCTTCACTTGAACTTCAATCAGAGGAGTCAGGACTTTCAGAGTCATTGGAGCTTTCAGCTGAATCAACGGGTTTTTCATCAGAGGCTTCGGGAGCTTCACTTGAACTTCAATCAGAGGAGTCAGGACTTTCAGACTCATCTGAGCTTTCATCTGAATCAACGGGTCTTTCATCAGAGGCTTCGGGAGCTTCGTCAGATTCACTGGAACTTTCATCTGAATCATCAGAGCTTTCTATTGAAACTATTGACAATTCAAATGAGACAATACCAGTAGTGTGTAATTTAAAATGTAAAATTGGCTTGGAATGCAAAATACTGAATGGAAAACCAGGATGTGTTCCAAGAGGCTGCAGTTTAATACGTTGCCGTATTGGTTTCATTTGTAAACTAGTTAATGAATTGCCAAAATGTGTGCCAACCTTGTGCAAAATCCGTTGCCCTTTAGGATTTGTGTGCAAACTTATCCATGGAAGACCTCGATGTGTTCCTGTTTTATGTAATTTAATACGATGCCGTTTCGGCTTTATATGCATAATTCTCAATGGAAAACCAACATGTATTCCCAAATGCAGACAAGAAGTAACTAAAAAACCATCACGTAATTTTGATATTTTTACAAATAAGCTAGCTTTAAAAATATTATAGGTCCAACAAAAAGAAGCACAACTCCAAAACATACTTCATCGACTAAACATAAAACAACTACAACTCCTGAACAACAAAAACTACTAAATCGACAAAATCTACTACACGTCAATCAACGAAAACTACACTATCAACAATCATCACAACCACAACTACACCTCCATTAACCACAACTACCCCTTCATCAACCACAACTACTCCATCTACTACTACTAGCCCTCCATCTGCCACAACAACCCCTCCATCAACCACAACTACTCCTTCATCAACCACAACTACTCCATCTACTACTACTAGCCCTCCATCTACCACAACAACCCCTCCATCAACCACAACTACCCCGCCATCTACCACAACAACCCCTCCATCAACCACAACTACCCCTCCATCTACCACAACAACCCCTTCATCAACAACAACTACCCCTCCATCTACCACAACAACCACTTCATCAACCACAACTACTCCATCTACTACTACTAGCCCTCCATCTACCACAACAACCCCTCCATCAACTACAACTACCCCTCCATCTACCACAACAACCCCTCCATCAACCACAACTACACCTCCATCTACCACAACTACCACATCTACTACTACTAGCCCTCCATCTACCACAACTTCTACTCCATCAACTACCACAACTACTACCCCATCAACTACCACTCCTACAACTACTACTACACCAACTACCACCTCTGCCACAACTACTACCCCATCAACTACCACTCCTACAACAACTATTACTTCATCAAAGAAAACTAAAACTCCATCAACTACCAAAACTACTACATCGAAAAAAACTAAGACTCCATTTACTACCATAACTACTGCTCCGTCAAAAAGAGCTAAGACCCCATCAACCACAACTAGACCATGTAATAAAAAATGTCCTTATGGTAGTCTATGCCAAATTATTAATAAGAAACCACAATGCGTTCCTATTACTCAAACCAAAACTACCACGCCAACCAATAATCCATGTAATACTATGAAATGCCCTTCTAATTGTGAATGCCGGGTGGTTTATGGAAAACCACAATGCGTTGTAATAGCTTGATAAGATACAGTAAAACCTTAAGTTAATTTTAAAATTAATCACCTCGAAAAATTTAATTTATTATTTAGATATGTACATAATATACAGAAAATGATAAGAAAGAAAATTATAAGAAATATAAATATAAATTTTGAGCAAATTAATTTTGTGATATTTTATATAAAATATATAATTAATATAATCCGAAATATACACATTTATAAATTATATTGTATGAATAAAAATGTTAATATTTATTTTTAATTATATAACGAGCCTTATCTGTAGGTTAGGATTTGGATCATTATTTCCTAGATGTTAGATCAGGTTAATTGCAATATTTTCAGCACGAGAGTTCAACTAAGTGAGTAAATAAGAATATATTTTAACAGAGAATAGGACAAGTTTCCCACAAGAAAGTTTAGAGATGTACTCGATTTGCCATTGTGAGAGAATAAACTAAATTATTTTACCATTCAATTGCTTATTTTTAAACTTTGATAAGATTAAGCTATATTTTTGTGGATTTTTTAAGAAATTTTGATTATTTATGCACATGATAATACTACTATATATCAGAGCTGGCGCAGTGCCACAAAATACAAGACACGAGATTCACTAGATACGAGATTGTAAAAAATACGAGACACGAAATAAAACGAGATACGAGACACGGTATACGATACTAACGTACCACTGATGAGTATGCTTTGAAACATTTAGTCATAATATTTGGTAGATATCGGTGGATTATGTGATATCAGTGGATTTGGAGGATATATGTGATGTCGGGCATTCAGAGGCTATGGTTCATGAAGGATTAAGGAGGATATCGATGGATCTGGTGTGATATCAGGATTCGAAGATGTCAGATGATTTTGAGGTAATTAAAATATAAAAATGCTTTAATCAGAATTAAAAGTTAAATAAAATTATAATGGCTATATTTGAGACAAAACATATCAGGAAACAAGAGTTGACCTTACAAATCTACTGATTCACCCTTAATCCTCCGATATCCTTTCTAAAACTTTTCCCCTAAATTCACTGATATTAAGTAATTAATAGGATATATGTATAGGGGTTCTGCGCCGGGTGGAAAATCAATAAATAATATTTTTCAGGAAGCTAGGTGGATTAGGTGGGATATCGAGCAATGTTAGAATAATATATTCTGTAAGAAAATGGTATACATAATTAAGGTTAAATGATCTAATTAATTAAAAATAATTAAAATATTAATTAAAATTAATTAAAAATCAGTGATAAATTAAATATGTACGTAAGAAAAATAAATCTAATTTTATTATAACCACCTCAGATCAACGTTTCTTATAAGCTTGCAAGTCTGCAAATTTTCCTTCCCTATAAGCTTTGTGATATTTATTATTTGGCCGATTGAAAATAACAACTTGTGATCTAAAATCGCACTTCCTGTTTATATTATTCTTTAACTTTACTCAAAATCAAAAAATTATTTTCAGTTGTTTTGAATGTTTAAACAAAAAATTTTGCATAAATTTGAAAATAAAGTTAATAAAAACAAAAATATTTATATTTATTTTTGATTTTTGCTAAGAAAACATGCATCTAAAATGAAAATATTAAATCTGTTTATTATTATAAAATCGAAAAATTTTAGTGCAAAATTTGGGTATATAAAACGTGAGTGTTGGTGCCAAAATTAAAAACATTATTTTATTCATACTTCTATAATTATTTCAAATATTACTAATCAGTAAATACTGCTGTTCTCTTCAAGGAACAATGGTAAATAATTCAAAAATTTAATTCAAAGTAATATTAGCTTGACTATAATTTATGAATTAAGTGTTATTTTTGGCTAGGGGTAGACCAAGACCAGTGATCTGCGGATAGAATCCTGTGTACAGACCACAGACCCCTTGAGAGTTATTTGACATTTGATAACCCGTGTTTGAAATTTTGAATATTGCTTGTACTCCTATTTTCGTACAAGCTTTTTTTACTTCGTACTCGTACAGCTCTTATTTTTACTCGTACTCGTACACAAGTAAGAGTTAGTGTACGAATTCGGGTACATGCCTCCAAACACTGGTATCTGCCAGACTGGACTACCAAACTTGAAAGCTATTTTCTTTCTCCCATATAGATCTTAAACCTTCAGCTAGGTAAGCGCTTCAAATCTAGTTAGTGGACCTACATCCTGACAATACATATATAGCTTATTGTGTATTTAATTTTATTTTTCAATTTCAAATTTTATTAAGAAGAATTCACAATTGATTCTGATTGCTCTAGCTCTTTTTATGATTTCTTGTTACAAGGAGTCCTTCGCTCAAAGTAATAACTCTACTGTATATAAGCTAATTTTAATATTAAATAGATGATCTACTTCATAAACCAACAAAGCCGCCTAAACCTACGAAAAACCCTAATGAAAAAGAGACGACTGGAAATTCTAAGGAATCCGAGGGACTTTCAATTGAGTTGAATGGAAAATCAAACGAGTCAGAGGGACTACTTTCAGTTGAGCTGAATGGAAAATCAAATGAGTCAGAAGGTCTTTCAGTTGAGCTTAACGGCAAATCAAATGAATCAGAAGGGCTTTCAATTGAGCTGAATGGACAATCAAATGAGTCAGAGGGACTCTCAATTGAGCTGAATGGCAAATCAAATGAATCAGAAGGGCTTTCAATTGAGCTGAATGGACAATCAAATGAGTCAGAGGGACTCTCAATTGAGCTCAATGGAAAATCAAATGAATCAGTTGGACTTTCAGTAGAGCTGGGACTTTCGGATGAGCTTGGACTTTCGTCGGAATTAAATCTTTCAGCAGGAGCGTCAGGACTTTCAGTAGAAGCTTCAGGACTTTTGTCAGCTTCACTGGAACTTCCATCAGAGGCATCTGGACTTTCAGAGTCGTTGGAAATTTCAGCTGAATCATCGGGTCTCTCAGTAGAGGCTTCCGGACCTGTGTCAGCATCATTAGAACTTTCAGTTGAGTCTTTGGAGCTTTTTAATGAAACCGAAGTAGTTTTAAATGAGACGGGAATTGTACCAATAAAGCCGCCAGAACTATGTATGTTATAGTTTTAAAAGTACAGAGGTGTATCAACTAAATATTTTTTAAGTTTGCTGTAACCCACTTGGACCTTGCCTTTTATGTCCTCTCGGACAACACTGCATTGGGAACCCAGGAGCAAAACATTGTGTTCCATTAGTATGCGATTTATTCTGTAAAATTGGCTTCGTATGCAAAATACTTAATGGAAAACCAGCATGTGTTCCAATTGCATGTAGCTTATTACCTTGCCGGATCGGTTTCATATGTAAAATTGTCAATGGAAAGCCGCAATGTGTCAGAATTATTTGCAATTTGCTGTGTAAAGTTGGCTTCGTATGCAAGATACTAAATGGAAATCCAGCATGTGTTCCAAGAGGATGCGCTTTCACACGTTGCCGATTCGGTTTTGAATGCAAAATAATTAATGGATTGCCAAAATGTGTTCCAATCTTATGCAACTTAATCCGATGTCCGTTAGGATTCGTATGCAGACTTGTCAATGGAAGACCAAAATGTGTCAGAATTATTTGCAACTTATTCTGCAGAATCGGTTTTGTATGCAAAATAGTCAAAGGCAAACCAGCATGTGTTCCAAATGTGTGTAGCTTAATACGCTGCCGGATCGGATTCGTCTGTAAAATTATAAATGGAAAGCCGCAATGCGTCCGAATCGTTTGCAATCTTCTGTGCAAAGTTGGCTTCATATGCAAGATATTGAATGGGAAACCAGCATGTGTTCCAAAAGTTTGCAACTTAGTTTGCCGCATTGGTTTTGTCTGCAAACTTATTAAAGGATTGCCAAAATGTGTGCCAAATGTGTGCGGTTTACTGCCTTGCCCATTAGGATTTGTATGTAAAATAGTCAACGGAAGACCAAAATGTGTCCGAATTATTTGCAATTTATTCTGCAAAATCGGTTTTGTGTGCAAAATCGTCAACGGTAAACCAGCATGTGTTCCAAGAGGATGTGCCTTAATACGTTGCCGCTTGGGTTTATATGCAAAATCATTAATGGATTGCCAAAATGTGTGCCAATCTTATGCAAAATCCGTTGTCCATTAGGATTTGTATGCAAACTTGTCCATGGAAGACCAAGATGTGTTCCAATTTTATGCAGTTTAATACGATGCCGCTTCGGCTTTATATGCATAATTCTCAATGGAAAACCAACATGTATTCCTAAATGCAGACAAGAAGTAACTAAGAAACCAACACGTAATTTTGGATATATTTACAAATAAGCTAGTTTTACATATATTATAGGTCAAACAAAAAGAAGCACAACTCCTAAACATACATCTACTAAACCGCATACAACTACTACACCTGTATCAACAAAAACAACTAAACCGTCAACATCTACTACTCCTCAATCAACGAAAACTACGCCTCCACCTACCTCAACTACTCCTCCATCTACCACAACTACTCCTCCATCTACCACAACTACACCTCCATCAACCACAACTACTCCTCCTTCTACCACAACTACTCCTCCATCGACCACAACTACTCCTCCTTCTACCACAACAACTACTCCATCAACCACAACTACTCCTCCATCAACCACAACTACTCCTCCATCTACCACAACTACCCCTCCTTCTACCACAACCACACCTCCATCTACCACAACTACTCCTCCATCAACCACAACTACCCCTCCATCAACCACAACTACTCCTCCATCTACCACAACTACTCCTCCTTCTACCACAACTACTCCTCCATCGACCACAACATCTACAACATCGACCACAACTACCCCTCCATCAACCACAACTACCCCTCCATCTACCACAACTACCACTACAACTACTACCACATCCACCACAACCAAACCATGCACTAAAAAGTGTAATTATGGTTATGTATGCCAATTTGACAGCTATGGGAAAGAACAATGCGTTTATATCACATGGTAAAATTAAAGGTACCTAATTCGATTTAATTTATACTTGTTTCATGACATTCTTTAAATTTAGATATGTGCAGATACAGCGCAATAAATCACTGGAAGAATTATTAAATTAAAAACAATTAATTGGAGATAATCTTATTCAAGATAAAAATAATTATTTATGTTAAATACTATGTACATACTATATTTCCATGATAAAATTATTAAATAAAGTATTAATTTGATAATAGGCAAATCTCTTTCTTGACCTTTAGCAAAGATCGGTTGGTATCTTGTAATTTTTTCTTGCCAGTATTGAGAGCCACATTAGGGGCCTAAACCTAAAGGTTACCACGTATAACACCATTTGGAACAAATCCAAATATTATACAATAATTTTCCAAAAAATTTTAAAAAACAAATTTCTCAAACAATGCCATAATGTGTATAAATCTTAGTGAAAATATTCAAAATATGGAAAAGAGTACAGATATGCAAATATGCACGGACGTAAAGAAATTGCAAAAATGTAGGATATCAAGGGATTTGGGAGGATATAGGAGATCAAGGGGATATAAATAGATCAATAGATAATACAATCATAAAGGATAAACATTTGGAAAGTATAAGAGGATTAAGGGAATATCAGTGGATATATGTATAGATTATCGTGCATACCGGGAATCTGGGCTCCTTATATGAAGCCTCCACATTTTAAATTACTATTTCATAGCTTATTTTATTAAGACATATCCCCACTTACAAACAGCATTTGCATGTTTTGTGATTCCCTGATAATAAGTTTAAAAAATAGCAGCTGATTTTAGTTATATGATCAAAATAATAATTTACATAATTTATAAAAATACGTTAGATAAACAATAATATTTATTTATTTTTAAATTTGGGAATCCTCAACAATAACAAAAAAAATTAGCGAAAACAATCAAATCATAATATCTAGTTTTTTTGATAAATAATATAATACTTCAAAAAATAATTTTAAAATAATTTAAATTTTATTAAATAATGAGGATAATTATGTTAATAATTCCTCTCGAGCTTTTCCTGTTTTTACACTTGAAAGCATCATTGGTTGAATGTAAAATATTATTAAAACTATTTATAATATTAGCATATTTACAGCACTTCCTGCAGATCTTTGCGCTGGAAAGCGTTGTCCAAACGGTTTTGCTTGCACAATATTAATTAACACAAACGGAGATAGATGGGGATCATGCCAGCCTAACAGTCAGTTATTTTTTAAGTGAAAACTTGGCTTCGGTAGATAATTAAGAATCTCTTGAATCTCTTCATAGCTAATCGAAGGGTCCATTCAAAGTGTTAATTATAAAGAATAATGAGTGTGTTAATGAACGATAAGTTAGAGAGAAATGCAAACTTGACAACCTAAAACGCGACAAATCGAGCGAGCTGAGTCTATTTAGCTCGAAAGTGGCTTGTATGACTGATTCGAAAAAACCAAACTCGTAAAAATTGAAAACGGCTCACTCGCAAAATTCTAAGAAAATCATAAAAACATAAGATTCCTTAGCTATTTCAGAGATAAATTTTAGCGATATTTTTAGCTATGGATAAATTTATTTAATATTTACTCAAAACAGTTACCCTAAATTGTGGAGAAGGAGAAGTAGAAGCACATTCTTGCCTCTCTTGTGAAGCTACCTGCACAGTAAAAACCCCTACATGTCCACCATATTGTTCCACAATGGTCAAGAGGTGTTTGTGTAAACCAGATTTTGTTAGGGTTAATGGATCTAGATGCATTCCGATTACTTTTTGCCCTCCTCCAATCCGTAAGAATATTTTTAAATATCAAAATCTCTTAAAATCTTTCAAGCCTGTTGTGATTCAAATAATACTTGCAGAATTTGTGAGCTGGGTACAATATGCGGAACTATAATAGGACTACTTAAAGCTGGATGTATTCAAGTAACTCCAATACTAGAGTTAGAATTATGAAAACCAGAATCCGGACCCCCAATCACAACAGGCTTGAAAGATTTTAAGATTTTGATATATAAAAATCACTCTAGATCCCCCAACTCAACAATATCTTCATAATCACTCTAAATCTCTCGAAAACAAGCTTGTTGAGAAGCATCAATGATATCAGAGATATATTGGGATCAGGGCTGATCGAAATAAAAATATTTTTTATTTCGAATCGAAACGAAATAAAAAAATTCCTATTTCGTTTCGGAGCGAAACGAAACGAAATGAGCTTGTTTCGGACGAAACGAAACGAAATAAACGAAATAAAGTAAAAATTAAAAAATATTTATTTTTCAGTTCATAAAAGCTTTTAATCGATATTTAAATCATAAAAATGCACCCCAAGAGCTAGATGAATGACAAAAACATAACAGAAACAAGAGTGGACCCTACAAATCTGCCGATATCCACCTTAATCCCCTTAAATCGACATAGATCCACCTTAATCCTCCGATATCCCATTAATCTCGTCAATACCACAATATCACCTTAATCTTGCCAAATCTCCCTCTATATCACGAATCCCTCGAGATCTCCTTTAATCCACCGCTCAAAGTAATAAAAATTTTAGTCGGCAGCAGAGGTGGGTCGAAATTCCGATTTCCGAAGTTTTTTTCCTTCCGAGTTCCGAAATTTTGAAAAAATTTCCGATTTTCGATAATTTTCAAGTCCAAAATTTTCAAAATTTTAAGAAATATTGCCCATTGGCCTTCCAAAATCTTAAAACCCTCTTAATCCTCAATTAAACCAATTTGGAGTACAACTCAAGCATATTCAAATCTAGGTTTCAAAAATTTTTATTATTTTTAGATCACAAAAATGAAGATTAGGACTATAGTAGGTTGGGCAAAGGAAGGCTGGTTTGCTCTAGCAAAACCCGTACAAGCTTCTTTTTTAGCGCCGCAGGCGAAAATTTTTTGAATGTTGGAGCTCAAGAAGCCAAATTTCTTCCATTTTCAGCGCCGCAGGCGAAAATTTTTTAATTTTAGGCTGCTCATAAGACAGAAATCACTAAAAAATTGATGATTTATTCCATAATTTCACGTCATTAGGGGTGCATTTTCTCACTTTTTTTTGTTTCGTTTCGTCCGGAATTTTGGCTATTTCGTTTCGAAACGAAACGAAATAAAATTTTTTCTGTTTCGTTCCGAAACGAAACGAAATGGAAAAAAGGGCACGAAAGAGCGAAACGAAACGAAACGAAACGAAATTTCGATCAGCCCTGATTGGGATTCTATGGGATTACGGTTGACATTGAGAATCAGAGTGATTATGAGTGAATTGGGGGATCAAGAGTGATATTCCCCCAATACATAAGCATATTTTTAGATATCAAAATCCATTAAAATATTTCAAGCCTGCTGCGATTCAAATAAGTCATGCAAAATTTGTGAGCTTGGTACATTATGTGGAACTGTAATAGGAGTACTTGGATGTATCCCAATAAATCTAATACGAATTTAATTGAAGTTTATATGTCGACGGCAAATTTGAAATTTGCCGTCAAATTTCAATTTCGTTCAAATTTATTATAATAAATCCAAAGTAATACAATTATTTCTTTTATATATCCAGTCAATTTTACTGATTAGAATGCTGAACAAGCATCTGAACCATTTCTTGAAACTTTTCTTTTGTTTCATCATCTGGAGCATCATCTACTCCTTGTTTAGCTATATCTAAAGCGTTTTTGCCTTCATTATTTGTTTGGTTAACGCTTGCTCCTTTTGATAACAACAACTAGAAAATAGTTTGGATTATTATGAATCGAATAACTTTAAAATAAAATTCTAATTGTTACAACCCCAGTGGTTAGAAAATTCGGGTACACTCCAACCTTAAAATTGGGGTACACCCTCGGGTACCCCCAATTCGAGCGTTCAAAATTGTCGAATCCGTGCCTTCCTGGTATTGGTCAGATTCAGCTCGCCGAGTTGTATGAACTATCTAGGGCGTCGTAGATTCGATAATTCTGCAAAAAGTTATAGCTCTGCGATACGACGGGCTCTCGGCTCGTTGGCCTGCTCCCAAAAATTCAAAGTACATCAGTGTTATCTCCAAGGATCTATTGTGTAGATCAATTTATGAGTATTATTAAGCATTTCTTGCTTTGACTCTAACTATACCAAAATTCCACAGGAAAAGTAGGATTTTAGTTTGAGATTTAAGACATCCCCAATATGGATCCTTTGGGCTGATAAGGGATGTTAGTGAGAGTGCCTGAGGAATTTTTACCAGTAAAATTTTATTCCTCAAACCTTAACAATTTCTGTAAGCCCAGCCATTATAGCCATCTGTAATGGTGTTGTTCCATTTTTTTCGTCTTTTTCGTTTACATCAGCCCCACCCGAAATTGAATTAAGAATGCTTCCAAAGTCACCGCCTTGGACTGCCCCAGCTAATTGTTGAAGCAATCCCTAATGATTTTTGTCATTTTATCAAATTTTAAAAAATTTTTTACATTCCCTGCACCACTAGAAAGAAGTGATTCAAAAAGCTGCCCAGCGTTGAACATTTTTGAAGATGAAAATTGAAAAAATTTCTAAATTTATTATATGAAAAATATGTTTAAGCAGGATTATTAGGGGAATAAAGGGAGAGAGAAAGAGACGGAGGTGGAACAGAGAGACCGAGGAGGAACAAAAACCTTAGAATATTGAGATTTCGAAACAACTCTTAGTGAGACTAAGGATCTGCCAAGAGGACTCATTGAGTTTTATCATTAAAAAATCCAGGCCGATCAGTAGTCGATCGTCCGATCTCTAATACATTAAAAGGAGTATAAGGTAATAAATATCTTTTTTCAAAGCCGAAATCCTATTTGAATGGGACAAGCCCAAGTAGGCGCAATGCCATAACTAGCTGGAAAATTTCTGGCACTTATCAATTTGGTACCAATCACTTTAGCTCGATATGAGGAATCGTTTAATACAAGAATTGATAAGATTTGGAAATCTTGAAGCAGGTTTTGCGCCTACTTCTTTGCGCCTACTTCTTTGAATATCACCTTATTTTTATGAAACATTGGCTTAGACCTGTGTTTCAGCAAGGTTTTAAGATATTTTAAGAATTTTTAATCTTCAGTTAAAAAATTTTTGTTTAAAAAATGATTTTTAAACTCTTGAGAAACCTTTTCAAAAACGAAATTTGAGAATACTCTTAAAAATAATTATGAACAATATGTATACTTACATAACTATGAGTAATATTTTGAGTATTTTTGCTTTAAAAATAAAGCTTTTCGTAAAAACATAAAAGCATTTTTAAGCTTTAGTCTTTTCAAAATCAATATAAAAATAAAATAATAGCCAGCTGGTGAAACCTTGTTCTATTTAATATTTGAAGTATTCCGCATAAAAATAGGTCAAGCATTACTAGCGGAGGTTGAGGGAGAGTCAAAAAAATTTTTTAAATAATTCAAACAATTATTTATTGAAAATACAACATAAATAAGTTGTAATAAAATTTAAAACAATTAAAAAGAATAAATTTGAAAGGCAATCTCGAGTGAATTGAAAGGAAAAGAAAACAGGTTTTTTTATATTTAATTAAAAAGATAGATTTATTAAATATTTGTCAGAAACAAAAAAATTAAAAAAAATCATTGAAAATCAAAAATAAAAATTAATTTTCAATGAAAAAATTAAATTAAAAATAAAACGGGAAATTTCAAGTCTCCGTTCACTCAATTTACAGTAATCCTTCATTTTGATGCCCCTCTTAAATATCAAGCAAAATTTCTATTTTATATCTCTTCAAGAATTAATTTTAAATTTAAATAAATTTAAATTAAACATTGAAATTAAGAATTAATTTTTAATAAGAAAATTAAAATAAAAATGAAACTTTAAAAAACGAAACAGCAGAAATATCTGTCTGGATACAACCCGAATAGTCGCGCGGCAATAAGGTCGTCATAACTTGCAAAAAATTTCTGCCCTTAACAATTTTGGTACCAATCTCTTTAGCTCGATGAGAGGAATCGTTTAATACTAAATTTGAAAAGATTCGGAAATCTTAAAGCAAATTATGGCTTGGCGACCTTATGGCCGCGCGACTATTCGGGAGTGTCTCCTTATTCTTCGCCGTTTACTCAATATACAGTAGTCCTTCGTTTTGATGTCCCTCTTAATCATCAAGACAAATTTCTATTTTATATCTCTTCAGGAAGCTTTTGAATTTTAAATAAATTTAAATTAAATAAATTTAAAAATTTTTATTGATTCTCAATTAATGTTTAGCCTCTTAAAATTTTTCTCTGTAAAGGGCATCTTGGCATATGATTGAATAGAGAAAGATTTAGCATGTGAGTGAATGCCTGGCATTTAATCAGATGGCATTTAAGTTGTTAAGGCGTGAGAAGGAGGAGGGAGATAGGGAGGGAAAATGCGAGGAAGGGAGAGAAAGAGGGATGAACGAGGATATACATAGAGTATGGTGGAAGGGTAATGGAGGGCTGGGAAGAGGGAGTGAATTTGTAAGGAAGTGTTAGAGAGAGAGGGAAGTGTGAAAGAGGGATGAGCGGGGATATACATAGAGTAGGGTGAGTGGGTAATGAAGAGCTGGGAAGAGGGAGTGAATTTGTAAGGAAGTGTTAGAGAGAGAGGGAAGTGTGAAAGAGGGATGAGCGGGGATATACATAGAGTAGGGTGAATGGGTAATGAAGAGCTGGGAAGAGGGTGTGAATTTGTAAGGAAGTGTTAGAGAGAGAGGGAAGTGTTAGAGAGAGAGGGAAGTGTTAGAGAGAGAGGGAAGTGTTAGAGAGAGAGGTCTTTAATGCTTTAAGCAGCTAACTCAATTATTCATTGATAAAAAAATTTTTTCTATTTTGTGTCCGCACCCGGCGTGGGAGTAGAGGAGGAATTTTTGGCAGGGCACCAGCTACTTAGAGATGAGGAAGGTGGGGGTGGGAGAGGGGGGGGGGCAATGATGTGAGCGGGAGAGAGAGAAGGAGGGAGAAGTTAGATAAATTTTTATCCCCCCTCCCCCCTCCTTCTCCCTCCCACTCCCTCCTCCATCTCCCTCTCCCTCCCTCTCTACACGACCCTTATTCTTGACAGTCAATTCCCTATCTATTTTAAAAATTTATTTAGAATTTTAAATTTTTATAGAGAATAATTTGTTAAATTTATTTTTAATAATAAATTTTAATTTATTATAGCAATTTTTATAAAGGTGTTTTAACAAAATGAGGAAGTTAGCCATATTTTATTTATTATTCCTAATTTTAATTCTCAAAAGAAAATCACAGGTTGAGGCAAAAGGTAGATGATGAACAGTTTTTCTTGAAATAAACCCTATGAAGCTCTATTTATTAATGAAATGGGGGCACTAATTTAACAAAGAGCTCTAATTTAGGAAATCGGTATAAAATATTACGAAAAATGTCAACTAATATTTTAATTCAGAAGTTTTTGGGAGGGTACTCATTGACCTACCAAACACTCTCAATACTCATTTACCAACCAAATTTAGTTAAAGTATCTTACCTATACTATGCTTATCTTCTCAGTATTGGGGTTATCTTAATCAAATAGACACGGAGAGCTAATTATGAAGAGAAACGAACATTATAAAGGGAGCAGGGGTCTGGCTGACAAAAAATCCGATTTCGGGAATTAAATCAGTTAGAACCATTGATGGGGAGATATGTAGATAAGCAGACATATTAATAAGACTTTTGAACAACTTATTATCCTTGGAATACTTAAAATTTTAATAATTTTTGAAAATTTTTTAATTTACAGATAATCTGGATTTTTTGGCAAAATATTATTCAAAAACATTCATAGAAGATTCTGAAAATAAAATTGAAATAGATTATAAACTCTTTTATGAAACGTCAATTTTAATTTTGGATTCAAAAATTGAAGAAATCAGTAAACAGATTAAGAGTAAAGCTGTTACTTCAAAAGCTGCTCCTTCAAAGAAATTCAGCTCTAAAAGTAGTGGCAAAAAGAAGCCAAAGGGAGGGGGTAATTTTTAATTTTACAAATAGGGGTGTGCGTTTCGTCCTTCGCCAAAATTTCACCTTTTTAGTTCTTCGCCTTTCGGATTTCCGCCTTTTGGACTTCCGATCTTAATTTGAATCTGTTTCGGCACACCCCTGTTAATTAGCCGGATATATTAGAAAGTTTAAAAATTCCTTTAGCAGGCTCAACAAGTCAAACAACTGAGGGAACTTCTGAGCTTGATGAAAATTTTGAAAAATACAAGAAATTGCGAGATCAAATAAATAAAGTAATCATTTTAAAATTAATCATACTATCACGGGGATATATGTTGAACCACAAGAATTTAAAGCAATTCACTTATCAGTCTGTTACAAATGATGTGTATTTTTGACAGTCTGGTCTAGGTTTGCAGGCTGATATTGGAGATAAAAGAGATGGCTCTTTTTTAACGAGGCTTCTTTTAAATTTTATTCAATCTTAAAAGTTAAAGGACACGTTAAAGGAGATAAAACCAACTCCGATCTCTAATGATTCCTAATAATCCTACTAAAAATTCCTACCTTAACCAGACTCAAGTTTAACGAGTTATCTGATAAATTTTAATCGGGCTTAAAAGTTCCACACAAGTCAAAGCAGATAAAACTAACTCCAATCTTTAATAACACACAATAAATAATAATCTCTAATAATTCACAAAAATCCGAATATTAATCTAATTTACCTAAGGGAATTGAAAATTTGGAAAAATCTCCGGGAAAAGAATCAACACCGGAGTCGACAACCTCCCCCGAAGACAAAATTATGGTATTGGATAATGAGGAAGATAATTTAGCATTTGCTTTACTTCACATAAATGAAGTAAAAAAGTTGTTAATTAAAGAAGATCAGCCTTTTAAAAAGTCAGATTCAAATGTTTTTGCAAAAGAATTTTACAAATTAAATGATCAAAATTTAATTAGTGTAAAGGCACGAATGCGAAAATTCTTGGGAAATGAGAACATGTTTATGTATTTGGAAATGATTTTTCCTGTTCAAATGAGGATTGGTGAGAGAAAAATTTAAAGTTAATTAAACTTTCTTTAGGGGTTTAGAGAAGAAAATATCCCATCCGAATTTAAATGATACTCCAAAATTGGAACTAAAGTGTGAGATGATGATTCGAAGGGGGAGGGGGGGGACAAGTGTAATAGGGTTTTACATAGGGTGATAGTGTCTCACAGAGGGGGAGGGAGTGATAGGGTCTCACAGAGGAAGAAAGAGTGATAGTGTCTCACAGAGGGGGTTTATTAACTACCCTTAGTAATTATTGTTTAGGCCTTCCGTTGGAAGGAGTACTTAATCAAGGGAGGGCAATTATATGAGTATGAAATTTGAACGTGTTTTAGGGTAATTGATGTGGTCAATTATTGTCCCTATCACGGAATGGGGTGATCATTAGAAGTGTATTAACTATTTAAAGGAGGGCAATTAATGTAGGTTACACAATCATAAGGTGTTTCCTAGAAGTCTAGTGATAATTTAAAGCCTGCCTAAAAATAAACATCCTGTATATTCTGAACTTCTAATAACCAAAAATTATATGATAGATCTGCTCGATTTGGAATTCAAAACTTATCTCTACAGTCTAAGTATACTTAGTGAGATAAATCCAATCAAAGTTGTAGAAATAGAAGCTGGACTAAGAATATCAAAATTATTCGAAATTGGATTAAAAGATATTGGATTAAAGGATCAAACTGAAAAAGATGATGATATAAAATCGGAAGAGTCAAAGACTAAAGTGGAAGAATCGGGAACAAGTGAAGAGAAACAAGAAAAAAAGGTAGTGGTTTTAAATGATCTCGTGACCCATACGAACGTCCTAAGACCATTTTTTAAGAGATCTGGAAAGTTCTAATAGTTTGTTACACATGCCTGATTAGAGACATAGAACCCCTTAAATTTTCAAAAAAGATTGAAATGAAATTTAATACAGCGTATGATCAAGCAAGAAAAATCAAGATAGAAAACTGTATGCTTGAAAAGATTCAATTCAGTGAGATATTGTTAAGCAGGTCCATGATGCAGGACCATAGATTATAAAAGAGAGTTGGGTACTTATCTCTATAGGTACCAAGCCCTGAATCTTTTACCTTAATCAATTTGACCATTTTCGACATTTATGAGAAAGGAGTCTCTCTGAACTGCTTGAAATACCTAAATATTTTTTTCAGGGTAGTAAAAAGAAAAAGAATAAGCAAGAAAAAAATCAGGAAAAAACATGTTTATCAGAATTTTTTAAAGAGGTTTTCGAGTTTTTTGAAAACAATTCAAAGAAAAGTCTAAAAGAGAATAAGAAACTAGATGTTCTAAATGAACGACAAGCTTCTCTAGAAGAACAACGAAAAGAGTTTATTAGATTTCTAGGCTTGAGATATTGTGATGAAGCTGAGAAGAGCATAAAACTAAAGCCAGGGGGAATGGTTAACACTGATAAATACTCTAAAGAAGTTACGGAAAGCCTCAAAGTTGAGCTCACTCGGGAATTGTTAAAAATTTACAATAACAATGATAAATTCAGAGATGAATATTTATCGCAAGAAATAAGAGATGCAAAATGGAGAATAATCAAATTTCTTCAAATTGAAGGAATTTTTGAAGACATTTTTGAAAAACCTAATGAGCACATAGATGCTTATCATTTGCTCAAAAATGGTATTTATTATTTAATTCGGACGTCCCCTATATGAGGTCTACCGTCTGAATCGGGGCAGGCCAAGGTACCGCAAGCCCAAAGACCTCAGAGCTATAACTTCGTTCGAAATTGTCTAATCCGGGACGCCCTCGTATAGTTCGACTCAGCTCGTCGAGCTGCATAACAGGTCATCTGATCAGAGAAATTATCATAGATTTGTAGGTTGAATGAAGGGGCCCTTACAATTTATTTTTAAACCAGCCTTATTTAACTTTAACAGACCAAAATGACGAGCAAATCCTCAACCTTTTATCTCAAATTTACCTGGATTATCTAAAAGATCCAAAGGGAAAAGAAGAAAAAAGACGGATATTTATGGATATTTTAATGTCAATATATATTATGAATAATCAAATGTTGATCAAAGATTATTATCCGAAGATATCAAAAAATAGTTGGGAATATTATGTGAATACTATGATAATATTTGTCAGTAAAATTTTTAATGAAACACCAGCAGATATGATGTCAACATTTGTTTTATACAAAAACATTTTATACATGATTCGAAAGTGTTCAGAAGAGGAAAAAACGACTCAAGAAGGACCAAAGCTGGAAGTTCCAAAGCTGGAAGGACCAAGGCTGGAAGGTCCAAAGCTGGAAGGTCCATCATCCTTAGAAAAGATGGAATCAGAAAGAGGAGCAGATTCCAAATCTGATATAAACCCTGAAGGTTTCGTATGTTGTTTACAATAGAGGTGGTTCAGAATTCCGATTTCGTAGTTCCGATTTCCGACGTTTTTTCCTTGCGATTTCCGAAAAAAATTTTGATTTCCGATTTCCAAAAAAATTTTGATTTCCGAGTTCCGACATTTGAGCCAGTTCCGATTTTTGGCTCTGCCGATTTCTGACACTTTTGACTGTTCGACCAACCTCTGGTTCCACTAGCAATTTTAATATTTTCGATTTTTAGAGGTGCCCGATGTTATGGTTGATAGAATGTATAAATTAATAGAGGAAAGTATTGAATTTGGATCAAATATTAATCCCTATTTAGTAATACTTGACGAAAAAACACAAGAGCAATGGTTAAAGTTCAATCATCGAAAAACAATCGAAATTATTGAAGAGAAAAATGAAAAATTTAGAGGAGAAATTAAAGGCAATTTTTAAAAATTATCCATTCTAAGGAAACTTTTAAAACTTTTATAGGCTTAAACAAGGAATGTAAAAAACGATTACGTCAGCTTGCAGGATCCAAAACAAGCAGGAGCATTGATGTAAATTTTATTCGGGTTGTTTCACGGAGGGTAGTGGGAGGGAGACCTTGGGACCTTTGTTTTTAACGTTATAAAAATTATAAATTCAGAGTGATTCGACTCCACCTAATAGTCCTACAAGTATGTATGAATTAAAGTACAATGTTACAGGTAATACTGTATATTTTAGGCTTTAATTAAAATTAAATTAAGATGAAAAAATGTCAAGATATGAAAAAAATTTTGAAAAATTTTTCCATGCCGAAATTAAATTAGAAAAACATGCACAGTTGGTAGATGCGGATGGAGTATTTTGGTATTTTGAAATGGGGATTCAGAATATGCTTTGGGTAAGCAGCAGAAATTAAGATAACATAATAATTAAACCAAACTCCTTATTTGAGGGATTATCGAATCTGGGAAAATCCTTGGATATTTGGATACATCTCCTAACATCCTCGGATTCAATAGCAGAACCAGAAGTTATAATCCTATCCAAATTATAATCCAAAACCCAATCCAATTCACGGGAAACCGTGTTTTCACGGTTTCCCGGGAAACCGAGTTTCAATATACGTATCCACCAACCTTGATTACAGGTGAACACCCCTACGGGATGATTGAAAAAGGCTACGGAATATTAAAATATTGTCAGAAATTTTAGAGAAAATTTCTACTAGATTTTTCCTTTAATTTAAATATTCAAAAAATTTTTAATCATAAAATTAAAGGATTTAAACGAAAAGCACCCCGAATTGCTAAAGCTACGAGAAGAATGGTTACTGATTGATAGACGAATACATAGTGAAGATCCATCGCGCGATCAATCAATGGCTGTTCAGATGATTAGGATTAATCCTAAAATAAAGGATATCGTTAATTTTTTCTTCATGAGAATTGTGCGGAATCCTGTATTAAAGTTGACGGAATGGTGGAATGACCTTGTGAAGAAAACAATAGTAAAACTAATAAACATTTAAATTTTAAATTAAAATATAAGCTAGTTTGAACATTGTTGAAAATATGCCTTCATTTAGGAAAGATTTAAAACCTCAAAAGTAAATTTTGGAAAATGAGTAGCTGATATAAGGCAAAATAAGTTCCTCTCTAAGCGGATTAAGCTGATCTAAGGCAGATTAAGTTAATAAAGCAAAAATGGAAATGGCTAAGCGGTCAAGTGAGGGAGAGAGGTCCTCAGAACCTTCCGACGGGCTTCCATCAGAGAGCTTTCACAATCAACTCTACAATTTTTCTGCATCTTTGGCATGGGCTCGAAAGATTCACCTTGATAAAAGGAACTAGATAATTAACTAATAAAACATAACATAAAAATAACTAAATCTTGCAGAATAAAATGCCACAAGTTGGTTTGTTTGATGATGAAATGCTTACTTCATTTGATGTGCTAACTTCAGACGAAAAGATAGCTGAATCATATGAAAGGGTTAAGAAACTTAACGTGATTTTAAAATCTAATTTAAACTTTTAACAATCAAAAACTAAAATATATTTAGGTGAGACAAAATATTGTGTTTTACTACCTCGATTGGCTTATCCTAAAATCAGCAATAATTAGTAATATGATTAGACAACGGAGCAATGAAGCTTCAATTATGTCTAGTTCAAGTTCAACTGTTTATTTTCATAAAAATCGAAAGGGTCGATTACATCAATTTTTAAATGATGAAAATTTGATAAAATTGGAAGAAAATTTTCCAACAATTCTACATATTGGTTAGGATAGTTATGCTAATATTGGATGTGATCCAATGAGTTACACTAATATTGGACCATATAACTGTTGCACAAATCTCTTACGCGTAGGCATACCCCCCCCCTCTCTACCTTTTGGCTCTCCTCCAACAGATAGGCACTCTCCTTCGACCCACAGTACCTCCTTTCACCAACTATGTACTTCAAAAAATATTCTAGGGTAAACTAAAAGATTTTTAAATTTATAGAAGAAATGTTGGACGCTACACGTTTCTATCTTTATCGAAAATATTCTAATCCCAAGCTTGGCACTAAAGAATCGGAAGAAGTAGAGCTGCGCATCGTTGTCCCTTTGATGTTACACAAAATTTTTGATAGGCTAATTGTTATCATAAGCAAATATGCCAATCAAAAACAAGAAGTAAGATTTATTAGTATTTCAGGTCCCTCCTGCAATTAGCTTTAGTTAGCTTATAGCAAAGTTAAACTACGGGTATGTAGAGGTACGGGGTATGTAGGGGTACTAATTAAAAGGCATTAGAACTAAAATTTAAAGTGTTTTACGTTGTATTTCGAATTGTCAGGATCTTGAGTTAAAGTCAGGAGACCGCAGCCAGTGGCTAAACTTTTAACTCATAAGCAGTTCCTGGAAGTTCTACAAAAAGGCAAAACTTGGCTCAGAAAATTAGAGTACAAAAATAGAAATTTCAATTTTCCGTGTATATTTCAGATTGAAAATCGGATTCAAACGTTCAAGAATATAATCATGAATGTCAATACAAATGAAAAAATTTGCACACCACGTGCGGTGTGCCTGATCCTTAACTTTTCAGAAAATATTAAAGATGTTGAACAAATGTAATTTTAAATAGAATAATATTTAAATTTAAATAATTTTAGTGGGACAGAAAAATATTTGGATAAATTTTTTAATTGGAAGCCTGAAAAGATATGCCATGAAACATCTCATATTGACAAGGCTTTAGAGCAGCAACGGAACATTATGATCGAAGAACATTGGGAATTTATATGTAAAAAAGTGCAAAATACCAACTACGACTATACTAAATTGTTTAAAGAACAGATAAGCATGGTTCCTGGAGGTTCTACAAAAATGACACAACTTGTTCCTAGTTATAAATTAATGGTTTCTGTACAACCTTTTGATTGTAGGATAATTTTATAATTTCATAATTACAGTAATACTCTTATAGAATCCAAATATAATTATTAGAGGCCCATTGAGGCATTTGAATGAGGCTTATTTGTCAGTCGAATAGCATAAGCTCGTTCATATGTATTATAAGCCAATTCATTGAGACCCTTAAAAATCCACAGGACCTCTACCTCTATTAGGACATTTACGATATTATAAAAATTTTTTAAAGTATTTTTTGATGATTATATTGCTAAGCTCCATTGCTTCAATGCATTTAACATTGATCAAGACAAGCAAGCTAAGATTGCCGGTAGAATAGCCTGTCAAATGATCATGTGGGCTCGATGGATGGATAAATTATTAGACTTGAAGGACAGACCTAATGAAGGACTGTCTAGATCACATTTAAATATAGCGTGGATAAAACAGAGGTTGTCATTACAAAGCAAATTAGATGAATTATTTGTGATGGATATTTCAAGTCTGGAGAACAAGGAGGAGGAAATGGCACAAATGCAGGTGTTTTAAAAATTTTTTAAAGAAATTAATAATTTTTTTCATTATCGAACACAAGTAAATAAAATGTGAAACAATAAAATAAAATCTCCTTGATCCACAGGGATCACTTATGGAAATAGTAGTCACTTATGGAGATACTGTTGTTTATTGTATCTCTAACTTATTATTGTTAAATACGGTCCTCCCGTTATTAAAGTGCCTCTCAATTTGAATGACCACTCTAAACCTCTCTTTTGAATACCCCTCCAATCGAATGCTCTTTTGGAATTTAAATGAAAAATTTAAATGTCCGGGCACCTTATTAATAAGCTAGTTCATAACAAGGTCCAGAACTTGGTCGAAATCACTTAAAAATTCAGGTTGATCTAAACGAATTTGTTCTTGATAAGCTTGATACATACATTGTTGTTGGAAGTCCAGAAAGAGTGGTATTGAAATGGCTAGAGATAGAATCACTGCAAGAACATAGGGTTGAATGGAATAATGACGAATATACGCAACACATTAATTGGATTAGGGGAAAAATCACAGATTTTATAATCAACTCAATATCAAATCCTCCTGGCCCTAATGCTAGAGAGGCTGAGAGAATGCAGTTTTTTTATATAAAGAACATTCAAGCACCAGGTAAGAATTATTAATATTAAAATCGAAAGATCAAATCAAGCCTTTCCTTCAATACATTAAAAAAATTAAGAATTGAAAACCAATCCAGAAGCAAGAAAAGCTTTAAGAGATTTTGTTGGTTATTCTGGAATTGCCAGAATGAAAAGAGAATTTCCAGAATTGTCAGAATTAAAATGGGAACCGGAAGGCGAAGATGGGATAACTAAAGAAGAAATGGATAAAGTAATACAAAAGGAGGAGGAAGCTCAAGTAGATCCAGATGAAAGAAGAGGACATAAATGGATGATGGAAGGCTTTGAAGTTGCCTCTGAAACATCACAAGGATCCAGTGCGACAAAATTGAAGAGAAAATCCAAATTTTATAAAAAAATAAAACCAAAAAGATTATTTTCTGGAGAATCTAATCGTGATAGGAAAAAACAATTGAGGAAGAAAAAACAAGCAGAAAAAGAAAAATTTTTAGAAACAATTAGGGCTCGAAAAGGAGAGCTGCTAGAGGATGATTCGGGTTGATTTTAAATAAATAAACATACATATTTGTAACACAAAGGCTTCTAGAAGCTTAATAAGTGCTTAAGGATTTATCCCATATCTGGAATATATATCCCCATATCTGCCCATAATGTTAGCATCCTTTGCTTCCACATTCAAGGGAACTTGATAACCTCCCACACAGTATGGGACACTAATTTTAAGTACTTACAGTAACTAGTAAACAGTAATGTCCAATGATACACATTTTATAATAATATCCGTATCAGCCCGTATACTTCTCATTTTCCAAAATAAAAATCCTACTCCGTAAGAATCCGCATGTATACATGAAACGAGATAGTTAATACGAGACAGACACTCTTCGAACCTGTATCTCCCACAATACAGTTTATCTTAATTAAACTTAGGGTAGCAACTCGACCCCGAAAACCCCGATTCCGACACAAAAGTCAACCCCGAACCACGACATACCCGATCCCGAAGGGTGGGTTGCTACCCTAATCAAAATATCTAATTAATCAGCAAATGATTTACACTGATCAATTGAATTAATTTATAGGTAAATCTAAAGAGACTAGCAAATCGGCATTTCACGATGAAAATTTTCACAAAGATTTACAAAATTATCTGAATTATTATCAACAAAATTATCAGACTAATGAAGAGATCCAAAAAGATAGTTTTGATCCATTATTAGAGGAAATTGAAAATACTTTAGATTTGGGAAAGGATTTAGTTGATAAGGGAGAGATAAAATGGCTTAATGTAATTAAAGACAAATGGGATGGTAAAAAGATTCAAATTTTGTCGAGTGATGTTGCTTCAATAACTACTAATCTTGAAGGGTTTTTGGATCATCTCAAAGATGAAATTAAAGAAAATTTGTTGGTAAGTCTTATGAAGCATATAACCTTTTAGAGATAACGTAAGGCATATCCGTTGTTTGCCTAAGCAATAGTTAACGGATGAAACCATTAACGGATTTTTCCATCCATTTGACTATTTACATATGTCATTTATCGAAATTCCTGTGGCATATCCACTTTCATGCCTAAGCTTATACTTCACGGATAAAGCAGTTTTCATTTGATATGTCTATAAATGCTGCAAAGGAGAAGCACAAAGTTGTGGCTTAGTAAAACTAGAATAGTAGATTGGATATTAGCAAGCATGCAGCTATCGATAGGGAATACCTTATTTTCTGAATAGTACTCCTCCCTAAATTAGCACTCCCCCTTTAAAAATACTCTCCTTTGGAGGAGGGCAAAAAATATACTCCCCCTTGAATTAGAACTACCCCTTTAAATAAATCTCCCCTTTGGAGGAGGGTTAAAATAGTACTACCGGTAGTACTATTATAGGAAATACGGTATGATGGTATTTGTGCCTGGTTTTATAATGGTCCCAGCATAATTCCACTTTAATATTTAATAAAAACTACAAATTATATTTAGCTCCGAAGAGCGCTTCGTGAATACGATTCGGATTTACTAACTCATAAGCATAAAAAATGGCCGAATATTAAGCAGGCAAAGAGAGCAATGACGGAATTTATTAAAAATTGGGTAACTTGTAAAATTTAAGTCTCGAAAATTTAAAAATTAAAGATCCCTTTGACTCATCAAAATGATGAAAACCCCGCTCCAAAAGGAATTGCAAAATTTGTATTATCCGGATCACATCGTCTTGGAGCTGCAACTATAAATTCGGACATAGATGGGGTTATATTAGTTCCACGTAAAACTTATTGGCATTCACAATTTGAAAAAGATTTTTTTGGAAATTTTGATTGTATTTCGAAAAAATGTGTTGACAGAGGAATTAATAATAATTCGAAAGTGGAAGCTGTGGAAGAAGTTAAAGATGATTCACTTTTTTGTAAATTATGCGAGGTATTAAGGAGTTTTCTGTGTTATCTTGGGAGCCTAACACTTGTAAGGCTGGTATCATCAAAAACACGTAGCGGAATTTCCCAAGGAGAGGAAAAGAGCTTAACATCGGCACTCTAAGCTAACATCGGCACTCTAAGCTTAACATCGGCACTCTAAGCTTAACATCGGCACTCTAAGCTTAACATCGGCACTCTAAGATTAACATCGGCACTCTAAGCTTAACATCGGCACTCTAAGATTAACATCGGCACTCTAAGCTTAACATCGGCACTAACATAAGCATTCTAATAGGTATACCAGTATTCTATGAAGATATAGCTATAGCCCAGCTATGCTTTATCAATTCATGTAGGATCTTGGGTAGTACTAGAGTTCAGCGGAATCGGGATCCCGGTCGGGATCGGGCGGGATTATCCCGGGTTTTTCGAATCCCGATCCCGATTTTTCTGATCCCGGTCCCGAAATAAATATCCCGATCCCGATCCCGGCCAATCTCAATCCCGAGCCGGGATCCGGGATCGGGATCGGGATGTGCATCAGATCCCGATACAAATCCCGACTTTATAAATTTACTAGAAGCCTGTGAAATGAAGTTAACAAAAGAGGGGAGGCATGAAAGTAAAAAAAATTTTTGCCTGCGGCGCAGAAATTGGAAGAAATTTGGCATCTTGAAGTCCAAAATTCTCAAAATTTTCGCCTGCGGCGCCACAAAAATGAACAAAGCTGTTTTTACAACTTTAACGAAATATTGAGTGATTTGGTGTGATATCGATGAATCAAGAGGGATTGAGAGGAGTACCGGTGGATTTGGAGTATAGAAGGGTATCGGCGGATTTACAGGGATTAACTTATTTCTGAAGAGAAATCGAGGGCTTAAGAGATTTTACTACATGAATTTTACTACTTAATCCCTCAATCTCAGTTCTTAATCGTCCACATTTGCACGTAACGCACTTAATCGTATAGACTTTACGTTTAGACTTGAATGCTCTTGGCATTCAAATTTTATAAGTTTGGCCTTCCAAAATTAAGAAATATTGCCTGCGGCGCTTAAAGGGGAGGAAATCTGGCACCGTGGGGAGGAAATCTGGACCCGCCATTACTTTATGTCACCTAAATCCCCTGAACCTGAAATTAAATTATGCGTTTATGAGATTTAAACTCAATATTTCAGCACTGCAGTGGCAATTTTAGAATTATCTGAGTTGTATGTAAAAAAAATGAAAATTTAAAAATTTTGAAAAAATTTTTAAGTAAATACTGATCCCGATTTTTCAATCCCGGTCCCGATTCGGGATCGGGACCGGGATCGGGATCTTCGGCCCAAATCCCGATCCCGATTTCGGCCGATCCCGATCGCGTGTCGGGATCCGGGATCGGGATCGGGATCACCATTCCTAAATCCCGATCCCGGGTTTTTCTCAAAATCCCGATACCGCTGAACTCTAGGTAGTACATGTCCTACTGAGTAAAAGTTTCTGTGTTATGTATAAGCACTAATTCGTTTTGTCACCGTATCTTCTTAAAGATATCCTTCTTAATATTACTATACTAATTATTTTTATTAAAGAACCCTAATGTTGAAAATCTGAGAAGAATTTATGGTCGCGTTCCGATAATTGGTTTGAAATTTGACGGATTTGAATTTGACCTATCTTTTGTGACACTCGAAGAAGAATCGTTAAATAACTTATTTATAGATGATAATTCCTTAACAGTGAAAAATCTCGATGAGGCGATAGAACAGTTTAGAGAGAAAATGCCAAATGCGTTTTTTGAAGCAGATAATGCAACGATACTTAGATTGAGGTTAAACACACGTTTAGGAATGCTTTTTGCGCTTTCCGGTATTTTTTGGAATACGATTAACAAAAATACTTTTTTAAGGAGTGCGATCAACTTTGCGAATTATGGAGTTGCTTGATAAAAATATAGCAAAATTTAAACTGGCATATATTACAGTAAAGTTATGGGCGAAAAGTGAGATATAATATTTATGATAATATCATTATAATAGTTCACCATACTAAAACTTGACTTTGATAGTGTAATACATACTAAAGATAAGTATTTTCAAAAATCCTGGATCTGAATGCTGGATCTGGATCCAGAAAAAATCCATGACGATCAAAATATGTCTGGATCTTGACTCTGGGTACTCGAAATCGGTGTTTTCCGGAAAATTTTAACAGATTGTTCGGAGAGGGAGCAGATCAAGGTACCGCGAGCCCAAGGTACCGCCGAGCTATATGGTTCGATTCACTCGTCGAGGCGCATCGGACCATACCAGGGCGTCCCGGATTCGACAATTTTGAACAAAGTTATAGCTCGGCGGGGCCTTCGCCTTTCGGTACCTTGGGGTGTACACGGTCGAGGACGAACCCTATTTCATAATAATACTTTGGATATGAAACGAAAATTGTATTAAATTATTCCCGAAAATATTACTAACGTTCATAATTTATAACTAAGAACTTAAAATATTCTTACTATCATTAAAGATCATTACATATATGGCGGCAACTTTGGATTTTTAAATGGTTCCTCGCTTACGGTGCTTGTCAGCAAATTTGTTATAGAAAACCCAAATGCTTCTATAATATCTATAATCACGGAATTATTTGAATATCTGGTTAAGTGGTTTGACCTTGAATCGAATGAGGAAAAAATAATTATGGTAGAAGATCCAAAAGATTATAAAAATTCAAGAAAAATCGTTGATTGGAATTTAGATAGAGAGCTCAAACAACGTGAAGAACATTTTAAAAATTTGTTAGGGGAAGGATATGAGAAACACTCAGAAGTTGTATGGCCAATTATTTTGCCCGGATTTCCTACACAAAATGCTGGATTTAACATTAATAGAAGTACGGGTCTAATTATAAAGACTGAAATAGAAAATGGTAAGAATTTTTTATTTGTGCTTCAACCCCGCATATCATAGTAGGAATAATAAGAGAAGACAGAGATCAGTCGGTGAAGCAGGAGCAGTCAACAAAATAGTCAGCTCTATAAGTTATACCCCGATCTATGGAGAGAGAGAATAATTGTCAACATAGGGGATTAAGCATTTACGGGTCGATTGAAGGAGGGAATGTGTGGGCCTGAGAGACGGGACTGGG